GGGCTTCGTGAGATCTAGGTCCCGCTAAAGGTTTGAGGGTTTTGCCTAAATCCACCACTGTCATGTCAGCATCTTCCTTGGTGCGGAGTGAAGCCGCATGTTAAAAGATTCCACAGGTAGTGATGCTTAAATCATACTCTTACTTATTTAGGGACTGGTTGGAGCCTTCTGAAGGAGAGCCATTCATCCTCTTCACAGCAGACTCAGCACTGCCTTGTCTATATTATTGAGGTGGCAGATGCAGAGTGACAGGTAGCATGCTTATGCTTACAGTAATGGCAGGCTGGGGTCGAAATTTTTTTCGAGGGTTACGATAGTTTAGGAAGAAAAGGAGGGGGAAGAAAATGAGGAAATACATTAGAGTTTAGGACACACGAGAAACTTCATGTTCTGCTGCTATGGAAAACTTAACTGAAAGATTGCACTCTAAAAATTAGGCCTGTTGCACTGTTCCTCATTTTAACCTGTCTGAATGCTCTGACCACCTTACCAGCCAGTGGGCTTCACAAAGCAGTGTAGTAAAATGTAACAGATTTCATACCTGAAAACACAATGCTCTTCTGAAAGTAGTGCATTCTCAAGAGTTTCCATGCTCACCCTTGGGTCATCAATGAATGCAAAATAGGTGATTGTAAATTCACATCCTTGCTTTCTAGTAATTTCCCTGTGAATAAAAGCTTATAAAGACATTTGGAGCAGGGGCTGAAATGTATTCCTTAGCCCCTTACGATGTCGTTTGTAATAAGCCACCTTTGTAAACAGTCACTGATGTATAAAGTATTGTTGAAATAAAGAAGTTGTCTTTAAAATGTCTCTGGGTATTTAATTAGACAGTCGCACATCTTTAGTTTTGCGAAATACTATACCAATTTGCTTATCTAGTTCAATTTCACCCGTAGACATTACTTGCATTAAGATTCAGTGATGTAATTGTAAAACAAAGAGCAATATTGGGGGGGGAGTGAAAGGATTTTTTGTGTTCTTTATTGCACGAGAACACACCTTGATAAGGATGCTATTCTTCAGCTTTTTTCTATGGAGAGAAGTATAAAAGGTTCACACCTTTAGCTGTAAGTCACTTTCCATTTTCTAGGTCACTTGGGCAACGGTTTTCTCTAGCTGATGCTGTCTGTCAGTATTGTCCTGTCAGGGATGTTGCTGCTATCAGCTGAAGAAGCTTTCAATGTGCAATATATATATATATATGTAATTGGTGTTTACCTGCTACTGACCTGCTGTACCTTAGTCTTGGTGACTGTAGTAAACACATGCTAATGTGTATTGAAATGTTACTAGCTAGTTAACAGTTAAACCTGCCTGATCATGAAGGTTTGCTACTTTTTAGGAAGAAGCAGGTGCCTTTGCCTTCATTCTGGAAAGCCATTCCTTTGCCCCGCTTTATGGAAGGGGAGAGACATAATTCATTAAATTAAAAATCCTGACTAATACTTAAAATTGTTGTGCAACAACCAAGGTGCAAAATGTAAGAAATGAATGTATTAATACTGAATATAAGATGAAAGCTTGCATATAATTAATAATATAGTGAAGAAAAAATTATGTAATTTTAAATAGGTTCTAAGAGCATATACTTCATAGCTGTTAGCTTGGTTTTCCTTTAAAATAGGAGGAAGTAACATAAAATTTAAAGCATGATGTACTACTGATGCGCTTTTATAAAATACTTTAAGTGATTGGCAAAATATTTTTTTTTTACTTTGAAGCTTAAAAGCAATTAATGTTACAATTCAGTTGCAGTGCAGACTTTGAGTGTGATACATACAGAAACTGCTATGTTGGTAGTTTCTGAATTAGATCAATAACTGTTTCTTACCACAGTCCGTATTACTGATATTTTAGGAAAAAATCCCATAGTTATAATCTTGCTCTTTATTTTTCTGTATGCTTATTAAAACCAGTTTGATATATTTGTGATAAAATTATATATGAGATAATGCAGGAAATGCAAAACCTGTACTACCTAGGTTACAGGAATCTGAGCATTTATGAGGGTGCACTAAATCTGGTGATAACCTGGACCGTGCAACTCAGGAGTTTCTTAGGATGCATGGTCCAGAGCTGTGCACAGAGGCCCATGTGAAGTGACACAGCCCTGTGTGGCTGTACTGCTTCCAGCCCTGTGGGCTCAAATGGCCATGGCTGGCCTTCACCCCCAAGGGCAGTAATCCCCTGTGTTATGTCTGCTGAAGATATGCGCTATTTTTTGTCTGTAGTCATCTTTGTCAGTTAAGTTGTGTAACAAGATAACTAAATGTTTTAAAATTCCTTATGCCCTTTGTTATTTTTGTTTTGGTTTTATAGCCTATAGTTAGGTCTTCATGTTTGGACAACATTTTTAGTCAATTCTCTGTTTACAAGCATACTAGACTTACCACATTGTCAAAAAGATGTGTATTTTAGCTTGTCTAGAAAGAGTATTTTGCTGTGTTCTAGGGCAACAGTTGCATTTTCTGGCAGCAGAAAGAAAAAGCGCTAATTAAAAACAGTATACAAATTTTCAGAATTTACTTCACTTTGCTTAAGATTTAAAATAGGGAATTATTTAGGAGTGAGAAATTACAAAATTATAAATGGAAAATCTATTTAAATTCTTGAGTTTTTCATGTAGGTCATAAGCCCTAATTATATTTGTCATTTCACTGGCATGTATAACCCTTGCTGTTGTTTTCAGAATTTAATATAGAGAATCTAAAAAATACTGTCCTTTATCTGCAGTGTATTTTTTAAAATACTAGGAATAATTTTTTATTTCTGTTGCACTGATGCTCTTTTCATAGCTATTTGGCAAGTCAGTTATTGGATCACAGCAGATGAGAAGACCTGGAAAGGAATATCCTGATAATCAATGTAGTAAAAATAAATAGTTTTTAAAGTAATGTTTTGCAATCAGTGAGGAATTAAGCTAAAATTTAGAAACTAAACCTTTTTTATTTTTTAGAACATGAAGAGTGGCTCTTTCTAGGTGAAATTTCTATGCAATGCATTCAATGGGAATAAAAGTACTTGTGGTGTTTTGTTTTGTTTTTCCCTAGCAGTAGGTTATCTGTGACAGATGGTTTTGGTTAAGAAAATACTTCAGGGCCTGTATAAAGCAAAATTAATTCTGACTGTAGTCTCATCTTTAGGAAGAGAGATTTTGCAATTAATATGTTGCCAATACCTATGCATTATTTAATCTTCCTTGGTGTGTGACATGTTGTGAAGCTTATGGAGGCATTTGTACATGAATCCGGTAGAGCTTTCATGTTTGAGACTCTGGATAGTCCTAGCTTACTAAGAAGGATCATTTTTTTTTTTTCTACTTTTTTATTGTTATTGTTGTATTGAATGCATCTCTAAAACTGGAATGATTTAATAAGATAAACATCTTGTTATGGCAAATTATGGTGGAAAGCTTGGTGAAAACATCCTCCCCAGAGCTGTTAAACTTTGATGTATTTCAGTAGATCTTTAATTAGATTGTATCTAAAAAAAAGGTAATCAGTGTAACTATAACAAGACAGGAATGTAGAAAGATTTTAGGTGTAAGATGTCTCCTGAATCTAATTTGAATTGGTACTGGCTTAGAGTATGTAAATTCTTTTGGTAGAAACACTAATGTTAATCCATAAAATCCTGAATGTGTACAGCTTGGCTGCCACTTGCTGTAGTACTGTTAAGTCTGGTCAGTAGAATACATTGAAGGAATATAAGCTTGAAATACACTTCTCGGCATCTAGATTCCTTTTCATATTTTCATGCCTTTATTCTATGCAAAAAGGGAGATGTAAAAATAATTATTCTCCTCAAAGATTGTGGAATATCCTGTAAAATAGTGCCACAAAATGAGTTGGGTTTACATTTAATTTGATTTAATGTAGTTACCTTTTAACGTGTGAGACTCAGGGTCAGGCTTATACCAGACGTCCTTCCCCATCTCTTCCATCACTTGGCGTAAGACCTGACCAGAAATTGCAGTAACTGTCAGCCAGTTAAAATAGTTGAGCTTTGAGTTCAGATGGGCTTGCCATCCCCAAGTTACAGTAACCAACAGAGAGGAAGCAAGATTTGCTGCCTCTTAAATCCCACAACTCTATGATCTTCCTTCTGTGGCCTTCATTGCTTGTGTAAGTAGATGTAGGTGGGAGCATGCTGCAGGGTTCTCTACCTGACCCTGTCCTGTCTCTGTTCTGTTTGTAAACTGACCTGTTGCCGTGGCAATGTTTGTGACATCACCTGTTCAATGTTGCACCTTCAGTGCAGGCTTTGGTAGGAGAGAGAGGGAGCCGAAGAGAACCAAGCTCTTGTTTTAAAACTCACAACTTCCGTTATGACTAAAAATGCCAAGAAATACAGAAAAGCAACTGCCAGGTAATTGCATTTTTATACAGCGGATATATTTGGAAGCTTTCTCTGTGGCATTTAAACGCATAGTTGAAATTGAGGTTCAAGGAGTTGCTTACTCTTCTATGCAATTTACCCTTCTTCTGAAGCTGCAAAATGAGAAGAATTGTTGTCTGTCTTAAACCACGAGTAGTTACAAGCAATTCAAGTGTAGATCCCAGCAGGGGTTTGGTATCTTGGAAGGTCTGAGAGGGCTGTAGCAGCACATGGCTGCTGGACAACTTGAGCCTTGCCCAGTGGGAGATGTAAGGCACAAGGGACCTGCTGTGAGCAGTGCTGGTGGGCTGCTCCGGAGCACTGCACAGGAGCCCAGGCCTCTGTGCTTGCCCTTCCCTGAGAACCATTTCCGGTACTGCCTCTCCTTGCAGCTTTCCGAAGTTCTTGTTTTAGAGCTCTTGGCTATATTAATGAATATTTTAATATGGGGGAACAGGAAGGAAGGACTTCAGTTAATCTGGAGTTTTGGAAGAAATCTTTATTTCTGTTGTTAGTTGTCTGCTCCAAGTACAAAGTGGTCTGGAATTGCTTTTTTCTCCCTATGTGCTTTATATACCTCCCTGTACTGCATTATTTAGATGTGCATGTGCTTACTTTTAGACAGATGACCATGGAAATGGTTGAATCACGACAGAATGACACTGCAGGGGATTGTATGCCAGAGAGAGATGCTGTTCATCTTCAGAATCAGCCAGGCCGAAGTCAGATTTCTCAAGGATCTGAGGTAAGTTGAAATATGCAAAGATGAGAAGAATCAATAAAAAGATATTCAGAATAGCTATGATTTTTAAATGATTTATTTATATGGAGTTCTCATGTTCTGTAAGTCTTGTTATTAAGTAGGAAAAATACAGCAAAAGTATACAGGAAACTGTGCCTGTAGTATTTAGCAAAGAGCTAGTATAACATGAGGTCTGTTATAAAGTAGCACTTCTAGGAGACCAGGATTTTCAGAAGGAATGGTAGGCACTTTTTTTTTTCTTTTTCGCTTTTCCAAGATGATTGTATTTGTTATGGAGATGAGAATAGGGTCTTAGAGAGTTAAGGTGGCTGCAAGATCAAACATAGTTAAAACATCTGTATCTTGAAGAAGTGTTATATAACAAAAATGAAAAATTAATAAAAAATAACCATGGTCCTTCCCTAATGCTAATTTTAGTACAGAATGTGTTTCATTCTTTTGGAAGTACATTTTTAATGTATGCTTGTTTTGTTTCATCCAATGACAGTGTCTGGAGTTCTAAAAACATACATGTTCTGTATAGCAGTCATACCTGGGTTCTTCTTTGCTACTTAATGGATGAAAGATGACATAGTAATAATCCTCAAACATTAAAAACAAGTACTGAAAGCTTCAGTGCTTAAGAGAGGTAGTATTCTTGCCAGTACTAAGATATATAACTTCAGGAAGCTGTATAGACCCCCTAAAAGGATCTTCAAAAACACTTCATGAAATAAAGGAACTGATTTAAAAGACATCTTACAGAATTTCTTCATCGTTGGAAGTTAGAAGTTACTTGGTAAGATTCGATGCGTGTACTGGTATGTTAGATACTTGATCTGCATTTTCAAGACGGAATGCAGCTGCTTTTGATGGGTTTTTTCAGACACAAAGTAGACTGCAAAATATGAATGCTTATTTGTTAGCTTTGTAACCTGTGGCATTTGTTGTGGTTTTGATACATGCAGCATTAGGAATACTGTGGGGTTTTTGGAGGGAGGGGAGGACGGGTTGGTTGCTTTCCTTTAAGAATGGCACATGAAACCAAGAAGTTTGTTTGGTTTGCTCTGTGGCTGCCATCCCCTCATTTCTTCTTTGATAGTTCGGTTCAAATTTTGTGCCCGAACTTCACTGGATGATTTACATGTAAAATCTATTGACAAGTGCAATAGTCTCTGAAGAAAATACCTGTGAATTCTGTCACTTGGGATTTTTCATGCCGATCTAGAGACAAAGCTGTCACTAATGCTTTAGAAGGGCTTCTGACGGGTCCCCAGGGAAAACATTTTTATGTTTATCTGCATTTAATGCTTGAGAACCTGTGAGGCCACGCTGTAGTAGGCCTCAAGCGTTTCAGTTAAAACTAGTAATTGAAGTACTGGTGGATTTCAGTCCATCAGCACTAAAATGAAACACGTGCACTTCAGTTTGAAGGCTCAGGATAACAGTCAGGAGTTTACATCTGGGAGTCTCTCTTTTCGGCCAGATGGCCTAGAGAGCCAGCATGGCTGTGCGCTCGTAGCTGGAGTTGATGTCCCTCCCCTGGGCTGTGCAGAGGACTGTCGTTGATGCAGTTGTGCACTAACACCAGTGAAGCAGGGTGCCTCCAGGGGACAGGCCTGCCTCCTCACCTGCACCGCAGTGCCCCAGGCGTAGCTGGCCGCCCCCTCACTGCCGCTCCCCGGGCCAGGGCCTGCAGGCCACAGCGGGGAGTCCCGGCCTCCCCTTGGCGCCTTGAGGCTGAACTGCCACAGCATTTCCTTTGGTAAAACGGGCAGAAAGCTTATTGCTGAAAGGCTTTGTTGTGACATTTCTTTGGTTTACGATGAGGAGAACTTTCTTAGCTTATGTTCCTACCTGGCAAACTCAGAAGGTGAGATGCTTTGTCATGGTGAGGGTTGGAGGTGGACGTCAGGAGGTTAACCCCTGCTCAAGGCAGGGAGCTTGTGTGGGACATCTACTGTCTGCTCTTGCTGGTAGGCATGGGAAAATCAGGGTGTTTGTGAGGAATTTGTGGCTGTGCTGCTGGTCCAGTGTCTGTGTATTTTGACTGTTACAGAAGGGTGCAGGTAGTTCCTTCTCCCTCTTTGGCCTCTGGAGGAGGGCAGTTAGGAGAAAACAACCACTGAAAATGACTGAAATGTACCTTGGACTAGCTTCCAAACATCTCCCTTACTGATTTCTTGCAGATGTGCAGAAATGCAAGAAAAGAATGGCTGGGTCCTTATCTAAAGGTAAAATCATAGAGCCATTGAATAGTTCAGTTTGGAAGGGACCTTCAAAGCTCATCTAGTCCAACCCCCTGCAATGACCAGGGACATCTTCAGCTAGATCAGCTTGCCCACAACCACATCCAGCCTGGCCCTGAACGTCTCCAGGGATGGTGCATCTGCCACCTCTCTGGGGAGCCTGAGGCAGTGTTTCACCACCCTCATTGTAAAGAATTTTCCTCATGTCCAGCCTGAATCTCCCCTCTTTGAGTTTAAAGCCATTACCCGTCATCCTGTTACAACAGGCTCTGCTAAAAAGTCTTTCCCCATCTTTCTTACAGGCCCCTTTATAGTACTGAAAGGCCACAATAAGGTCTCCCCTGAGCCTTCTATAAGCTGAACAACCCCAGCTCTCTCAGCCTTTCCTTGTAGGAGAGGTACGCCATCCCTGGTCACTGAAACTGGCAGACATCTCTGGGGTTTTCTTGTTTGTTTTTTTCAACCAAACTTTTGTTCAACCTTTGTTTTGTTAAGTCAGAAGTAAAGCGTTTTAATACATTGTCTTTTAAATACTGAATTTTTAGTTTTCTGTGTATTGTAAGAATCACAGAATAGTTGCGGTTGGCAGGGATCTCTTGAGATCGTCTGGTCCAATGCCCCTGCACAAGCAGGGTCAGCCAGTGCAGGTTGCCCAGGACTCTGTCCAGTTGGGTTGTGAACATCTCCAAGGATGGAGTCTCTGCTACATCTCCGGGCACCTGTGCCAGTGGTTCACTGTCCTCACAGTAAAAAAAAAAAAAAAAAACAAAACAAAAAAACGGTGGGATTTTTATGTTCAGATGGAATTTTATGTGTTCTAATTTGTTACATTATTAGTGAAGATAGCTTTTTTCTTCCCCCAGCTGGTGTAATAGATATTGCTAATTCATTTTTTGTGATGAAAGTAAAATTGCTTCTTCTGCAAAAGCAAAAGTGAGTGAGTTGGAAAGTATAAAAAATGATATGCATCTTTCATCCATTGTGGCAAAATTGTCATTTTTCTGTCTTGAAAGGGTTATTTTTAAAAATAAGTAGTGTGAAATAATTTATAGTTGAGTTTCTCGCATCCCTCACTTTCAGCCAGTTAATGAATTTACGTGGTATTGTTTTAAATACATTTTCAATGTCATTTCAGTATGATCCAGCCACCAAAAGAATTGGGTAAGAAAATATTAATTTGTAAAAATTTTGGTGGTTGTCTTTAGAAGCTGTTGGACATGTACAGAAAACCTATAGAGAAGCTCGATGCCTTTTTTCAGTGAAGAACAAAGGTGCAAGATAGAAAATTTCTCCACCTGTTTTGAGATGGGCTCCATGAGTTCTAGCTCACATGCACAAATGTGAGTCTTGCATTAATACATATAGGACTGTTCTTAAAAGGAAGTTAATTTGGATTGGAATATTCTGATAACACTGATGATAGCCAAACTTGTATCTTGGAGCAGTTATATCTGCATTGGCATTCACAGAGAAATTAGATGTTCCGTTTGCAGCATTTCTAGAGGCCATAGAATCATAGAATCATAGCATTCTGTGTTGTCCTGTGCCCAGCTACACTAAATCTGATGTAAAAATGTAAGATTAATGTACTTGGACCCTTTTTAAGATTTGACAAAAGTAATTTCAGTTGTGGGTTTTTTTCTGTAATCCTACATCTTTGTTTGGTTCTTCTTTGAATCACTTTTTGTGAACTTTGTCTTGTTGCCTGTCAGTAGAGCTGTCTGCTGCCTTGGTCTGAAATACCATCTGTTGACCTTCCCATGCTGGCCCTGGACTAGACATGGATAGAGATTTACAATGTGAGAACTGCTGTCAGAGCAGAGGGAGTTTTCCAGAGCCTGGAGCGCATAGCCATTGCAGGTTGGGACTGCTCAGGTTTAGCACCTGAGGGGTATTATCCTTGTGGCCTTTTGGCATCAAACCACATGTTAAATCTTGCCCTGCGGAAGTTTGCCAGGCTGTTTTAAGTATGTCTATGAAACCAGTCTGCCAAGTGCAAGTCCAGGATATTTAGCTAAGCTGATGTTAGAGGATTATAAACCTGCAGCCTTGTCACCATTTTATGATTACGCAAGGTTATGCTGTCACCAAATGGCTGAAATCAGCCTAACCTTTTCTTCCTTAAAACCATGCGCTGCTTTTTTGGCATTTGCTTTGGAATTGACCAAAACTTCCCTGTTCTCAGCTTTTTCTCACAGAGGCTACTCAGTGCCTGAGTGCAGTGAGAGCTTTGCTCTTTCATTAGCTGAATCCAGGATGGGTTTGCCTTGTCTTTTTCTTTCCCACAAGTACTTTTCACTTCACTTCTGGAGTCCTTGTAGTGTTTAGATTCTACAGCAGGGACAGTAATCACTTGGAGCTCTGTACTGTGTCCTTCATATCAGCAGTGTTTAAGGTATGAGGGGTTAAGTGTGGATGTAACCTGTGTAGTACACTGCAGGGAGAGGTTATCTGACCTTGAGCAATGACAGTGCATATATCCACAGTATGACTGTTCAGATGGACAGTGCATCTTGAAATCAGATAATGATGAGTAACCTCTTTATGAAGGTTATGAACCTCAGCATGAAGATGTTTTACGATCTTCTTTTGCTGACGGAATGCATGGTTGATATTTGTTGAAGCTATTAGACTTAACTGTTGCATACATAAGAGGAAAGAACCCAAAAGGATGTAACAAGATCTGGTCTCTTTGCCATTGCCAGGGATGTAACCCTTACAATGTTTAACCAGATGCTTAATATGTTTGTTACG